ATATATTTGTTTCCTTACTTTAACTGAAGGCACATGAGTAAGATACTTCAGTATATATTTGTTTCCTTACTTTAACTGAAGGCACACAGCAGTTTTGCGGGTCTGCTCCCAGAGCACCACATGAGCAAGTATTGCAATAATGTGAGTCTTACACACTTTTGGTTTCCCAGTGCATAGAACATTTATACTACACTGCAGTCTGCTATGTGTGCAACAGTATTAGGAAGATGTTTGAAATATTGTGAGAATTGACAAGATGTGGCACAGAGACATGAAGCGACCATACGTTGTTGGAAAAATGGCTCCAAAAGACTTACTGGATGGTTGCCACAGCCTTCAATTTATGGGAAACGCAGTGTCTGTGAACTACAGTAGTACGTGACAAAACGAGGTATGCTTGCACTCCATCACCAGATGAAAAGTTATGTTATCTCTCACTAAAATCATAGCCAAGGACTCTTACTATTAACAACAACAACAACAACAAGCAGTACCCCTTACTGAGTTCTCGCTCCAGGTGCACTGCATCGCTTACCCCAGGGCAGACCCGGTTCTTTCATCCCTAGGGAAACCCAAGTCACGGGGCGAAGTGACCTGCAGAAACCCCATGGCAGCAATCGGCAGCAACGGGCCAAATCGGGGTCAGTCTTCCTAAATCTCAACCATGAGACCGTGCCATGAAAACAAACTTATTGGAAAAATGTGTCTACGTACTGGTTCTTTTCCAGGCTCAGTCAGCTGGAAAGTCAGAAAAGAAAGAACATCATGGTCATCTAGACAAGAAAAAAGAAAAACAGTCTAGAAAAGAATGCAATGTAATAGTTACAGTTTTAACAGTTGTGAATTTAGCTTATAGTTCTTTATTGCCTTAAAAAATAATTAATGTAGAGAACAAAAATTAGCTCTTAATTTGGTATAGATGATCCTCATCTGGAAGATTTCCATGAGAAATCTTTAAAGAGAATTAAAATCCAGTTCCAGAAACCACAAACCCGACCATTTAGCAGTGCTGAACATGTTACTATTGTTATGTGCTGTCGAGTTGATTCCGACTCAAAACAACCTTGTTGTTTCCAAGGAGTGGCTGGTGGGTCTGAACCACCGACCTTGTAGTTAACAGTACAGTGCTTATCCTACAGTTGAACATATAACACATTTAATAAACGTCTTCTAAGAAAATGAACAGGACTCCTGGGATGGTGCTGTAGCATCAGTCCTGGACTGCGAACCACAAGGTCAGCACTTCAAACCCACCAGCTACTCCTCAGAAACCCCATACAGGGTCGCTAGGAGTCGGAACCAACTCGAAGGCACGTAACAACAAGGAAATGAACAGGGAGCACAGTGGTGCTAGAGGATAAGCACTAACCTACTAACCACAAGATTGGGGCTTTGTGCCCACTACCTGCTCCACTTTACTCCCATAAAGACTTGTTGTTAAGTGCCATCAAGTTGATTCCGACCCATAGCGACCCTGTATAGGGTTTCCAAGGAGCGACCAGTGACCTTGAACAGCCTTGGAAATCTACACAGGGTCACTATGAGCTGGAACCAACTCAACAGCACTTAACAAACACAAAGGAACAAGCAAATGAGTGGTCAAAACAAGCCCACACTCAACCCTGGCACCTCTTTGATGGCTTATGGCTGAGCCAATGGGACAAAAGCCTGCTCTCCCAGGATTCCATGCACCTGTCTGTCTCGGACCCTTTCTTACAGCACTGACACTTCTGCCTCACTTTACACGGTGACCCGGCGGCCACTGTTCCCTTCCGATTCACACGGCTTAGCTGATACGGTGACACTACCTCCACATCATCCGTGTGTGTTTCCCTCACACAGCAGATACTAACAACTGAGTGTGGTGCAGTGCTGGAGGACCAGCCCTGGACTGCCAACAGCAAGGTCAGCGGTTCAAACCCACCAGCTGCTCCCTGGAAACCCTATACAGGGTCGTTATGAGTCTGAACTGACTCAATGGCACTTCACAACAACAGCATATACAAATTTAAACTCATCTCAAGTTGCTTAAGCTGGAAACAGGATCCAGTAGAACAAACCTCATTTATATGGAACTAAAATGCCAATTCTACTAGCCACATCCAAAGTACAGATCATTTGTTTCTGCTGCGCACTGATCTTTAGAGCCCATCTGAGAAGCAGGGTGATGGAGCAGAGTGCAGGTCCACCCGACAATCCCTGACTGCATGAGCTGCAGGAAGTCGTTTCTAAGACTTGGCGGGCTCATCTACGAGGGGACAAGACAACCTGTCCGCCCTCTCTGGGTGTTGTAAGGAACTATCCAGATATCTGAAAACAGTTTAAACTACAACACAAAATAGTATTAACATCAAATGATAACTTCATTTATTACCACCTACAGAAAAATCATAACATTTTGAAGTTGAGACCCCAAACAGCTCTTTCCTCCCACAGAGCCAAAGACTGGTACCCTAACTACTAAAAGGTTCCAAACTACTCATCAAAGGTTAAAAGTAACACGTCTCTGTGTCTCTCAGACAAACCTACTTCCAGTGAAACTCAATCCACAAGACGTCTGATATTAAAAACAAGATTTACCTGCAAGGCCTCCTGTAGCAGCAGATATTCCAAAATGCCCTTGTGCAGGGATAATCATGTTTTCCACTTTGGCACAAAATTCATAATCATTTTTATCTGGTGTAAAGCCATTATTGATCATGACCTAGAAAGACATACCATGGTGATAGCTTTTACAAAAGACATTGTAAACTGAATTGCAATCAGCCAGTTTAATGACGACGACATTCAATAATACAACTTCAATTTTATGACTACAACTATTCAGTTTTACAATTAATACTAGTCAGCACTGTTTTATTTAATAATCAACTGCCCGAAAGCTCCGTTTTCTCTCATGATTAGGAAGGGTAAAATCTCTCACATAACACATAACCTCATTCATTTACAACAAGGTATTTCACTCAAGAAACTGTTTTTGCTCACTATGCATTTTGTTGTGGCCCTGTAGGATCAGCTTTGAATCACAAGGTTGGCAGTTCAAACTCACCAGGTGCTCATCAGACACCCTATGCAGGGTTGCTATGAGTCTGAACCAACTCAACAGCACTTAACAACAACAACAACAAGTACTATGAAGCAAAAAAGTTGAACAACTCTCGATGAAAACCTTTCTAAAACAGACTACAGCTCACTTTCTCTTCAGAAGACTCAGGGGGCCACAACTGCTGTCTCTGGATGGTTCTGAGAGGCCCGGTGACAGAGCTAACCCACAGCTTCAACACATCTCTCTGTTTCAGTGTGAAGAGCTGGCTGAGAAGCAGTCAGCTCCTCTTCATTACTTATTGGGGTGATGTAGACTTTCACCATGTTAGCATGGAGACAGGAGAAGCATCAGGTCAGATCATCAGGAAGGACAGAAAATGAAAAAACTAATACGATATATACACGACTACTCTGTGGGATGCAGCGTGACCTCGTAATGGCCCGGATCATTTTATCCAGAGAGCTTGAAATTCTCTCTACCTGATACGTGTGTACTCTTCATTACCTCAGTCAAGCAGTGGGCTACCATCTTCAATGCCTGTCATTTCTAACAACCCAGTCACCAATCCCTAAGTTAGTCCCTGGGATACAGTGGGAGCAAACGGAGAGGGTGCATGACACCACAGCACGGGTGCTGGTATGACTCCTTACAGATTCAGTTTATCCCTGACTCGGACCCACACAGGCAAGACACTACAGTACTCTGTTCAATGTGTCGATAACAGAATAAAATGCCTTTTGTCAACGTGAAGAGTTACTGTCTATAGAAAGCAGAATGCAAACGTGTGAACTCCTACCAAATATTCTAAATCACCTATCATTTAAAAAATTATTATATCTTTTTATCAGTAACCAGTAATGTTCCTTTGTCAGTTGACATCTTTTGTAACTGGTCCTCCCCTACATCATCTTTCAGATAAGAATCAACAATCCTAAAAGATTTGCCTGAGTACAAAAATAAAGTTAATCATACTCTAACTTCAACAATAAAAACCTTCAACTCTTCAAACTTTTTACCTTGAATCCCAACAAATTGAAAATCCACTAGGAGTGTTATTGTCGAGGTGTAATTATTTTTAAAAGGGGGAGGCATATTTACTGTACTATGAGTTAGGAAGCTATCCAAAGAAAACTGGGAAGACAGGCCCAGGGATCTGCTTCTGAAGGTCACAGCCTTGAAACGTCTGCGGAGCAGTTCTGGGTGGCCACGAGTCACAATCAACTTGATGGCAACAAACAACAAACAACAGAGACCACATGCTGGGACAGTAACTGTAAAGCCTGGGCACAACATGACCCCTGGGGAACTCTCCTCCATGAGGTCACCGACAACATTTGTTATCCATCTTCCAGTTTCAGCCCAAAGCTAAGCACTTGTAACAGCTAGCACCCCTTGCGTCCCCCGCCAGCAGCCCTATGGCCCCCTTCCTCCTTCCTGCAGTGTGAACACTGGATGAGCTGAGGGTGTGCTATTTGGTGAACGTTTCCTGAGCACCTCACAGGTGTTCAACATTACAGACCATGAGGCCCATGGAAGCAGCCCCACTGGCACGGTGGTTTGTACTTAGCTACTAAGTGAAAGGTTGGGGTTTGAACCTACCAGCCGTTCCCTGGAGCCCTTCTCTGTCCTAAAAAGTTGCTCAGTTGGAACTGATTTGTTGGCAAGCTTTCACAAATGAGGTGCACGTGGTGCACTGCGGGACCTGAGAAGCTACTGGTACCAATATTCATCCATTCGGCCAGAACTTGGCTCCACAACCGTCTCTACTCCTCTCCCCCAGGAAGGCTGGTGTTAAGTTCTGCAGTCTCCAATTCTGCCCCCTCTCCTCTCCTAACTGCCACTACCTCACTCCAGACCACAGGTGGGCTCTTGCAGTTAAGGTAAGAGATGGGGACAAAGCACAGTTCTGTTCTTTATTTGGTCTGAGACAGTCCAAGTTACTTAAAATTTCCCATATCCAACTTCCCCACATATAAAAGGGAGATTCCTACCTCACAGGGCTGGTGAAAGGCTTAAAGAGAAACTTCACATCATGTAACAAACACCATTACATGCCTGGCCTGTAAGACTCAGGAATATAACCTTACCCCTTGGTGTCATTTACAAACACCATTACAAGAACGCTGTTGCCCCGCTATCTCCCTAAATCAGAGCATTTCACTTTCCTGCTTACCAGTCTCCATGCTGCTCTCAACAGGTCATATTCCATGTGACCATTCACAGCCTGTTACTGACAACCTTTCAACGTTGCTTTCTTCAAACCTCCTCCAAACTACTTCACCCCCATCCACAATATTACAGTTTCTCTCAAGGCCCTGCACCCTACTTTCTTTCTGACTAGAACAGTCCCTGTATGGAGAGCACAGCTCAGCTCAGAGATACCGCTCCTGCCTGACCCCACGCCCACATGGCAGCTACAGGGTCCTAACCCCATGATTCCTGAGCAGTTTCTGACTGACAGCATGCCTCTCTGAAGGACTACACAGGCACCCAAGGCCCAGCCCAGAATGGGGTGCTTCCACATTTACTGGCTAAACGTGAACCTGCTCTAGATGACCACTTCCACCAGGCTCCGAGTCCACCTGTTCTTGGACTGACCCTACAAGCAATGCCCAGTGGTCGATTAATTAGTCAAAATAAGTAATATCAGAAGATACTGTTGACCGATTATCTCTAAAGGCGTATTGCTTACCGTCAATGTTTTCTGGTAATATATAATCTTTACTCGGACGGGATAGGGCTTATTACGAAAGTCTCTCTGGCAACTTGCTAAAGCTTGATCGGTACCATCACTGTAGTATGCAAGAAAGGAGAACAAAGAACAAACTTAAGAAAGTAGTTCAATACTTTAAAATCCATCATTTAAAATGTTACTGTTGGGGACTATTAACATAGGAGAGGGGTTAAAATAATTTGTGGGAAAATCACATTAACCTTCAGCTCTATTTCCGTGAGCTTTTTGAAACCCCTTGTAATACCAAGTTAATACAAAGTTTTGGGATATTTCACATGAAGCATTCCAAAGTCACGGAGTGGGCATGTACTCTTGTCGTGACGGCTGTCAGAATGCAGAATGCTGGGTCACCGCAGAAGCCACAGCTCCCCGGCACACTGGTGGGAGCTCCAGCCATCTGCAGGAGACCAGGGCAGAAGCACTCCAGCGAGGGCACAAACAGCCCCCCGCTTTTCACAACGCAGACCCTGAAGCCTTCCCCTTCAATTCAACTGAAGTCGCAGCTAAAGGAGCGTGACAGGTGCCTTTACTTTGAGCTATGTGGTGGTGGTCATGAACAGGCAGGGCGCAAAACCATCAGGGTTGTTGTTTGTTAAGTACCGTCAAGTCGGTTCTGACCCATAGCGACCCTGTATAGGGTTTCCGAGGAGCCGGTGGTGAGTTTGAACTGCCAACCTTGCAGTTGGAAAGGCTTTGCAGTCTGGCGCATTAACCCACAGCGCCACACCAGGACTCCAACCATCAGGGCAGCAATGAGTAAACAGAAGCATGTGTGAGTAAAGGCAGCCCCACTCTATGCCACTTTGCTTTTATCAGAGACCTGCAATAGCACCTGTGTTTACTAACCGACCGTAATTGGAGGCTCTTCTCTTTAAATATAAAAGGAGAAAAAGAAACTAGTGCAAGTCATTAATGTGGCAGTGAGCGCCTCACTGAGGCTCCTCCCCTGGGAACCACACTTAGCATCTCAGCTTCAAGTTGCCAGAGCTTTGAACTGTGTCTGTGAACGCTACACATAGTGTTATTTTAGGGTTTATGTATTACTTGGTATGATTTGGTAGGTTATTTTTTAGGTCCAAGAATGATCAAAATGTTCCCCGTATAAATGTATGTTAACTGCTTCTTCTCTTTACTCCATTGTGTCTACAAAAGGTTTCACAGGGACTCTCCACTTCCAGATAGCTAGGGAACCTGCATTGTTCCACAGTTCACTGATTAACTACAAAGTTCATTTCTCCCACCGTAATGAGAAAGCAAAACCCACAGATACCAAACTCATGCACATTATAAATATAGTGAACCCCTGAGCAGCTCTGTGACCACTGAGGTTTAAGTACAGCAAGCAGTAAATACTAAGGTTGGTTGTGAGGCTGGTGTAGGCCAGGCAGTGCATCCTTCTGCTGTACCTGGGCTTCCTATGAGTTGGAACCAGGTTAATTAAGTGGCTTAAATGGCTGACTCATCAGTTTGGTCAAAACTCTGAACTGGGTGATCAATTCACTTTAACAAAGATGCATAGCCAGGAATGTTATGAACCTTCAAAATCATCGTACACTTCAATTGTTCAGCTTGTGTGTATGAAGTAAAAGGCAGATGTTAAAGAACAGAGTTTATTACTGGTTACTAGCGTGGACGGCCTCCTGGTGTGGCACTGAAGGATCAGCACTGGACTGCAAACCACAAACCCACCACCTGCACCTTGGAAACCCTATACGGGGTCGCTGAGTTGGAACCAACACGACGGCACTTACCAACAATAACAGGGTGGATGGGATGGAGGAGGAAGGGGTAAGCAGCTGTTTGGGAAGCAGTGGATTTCGGTTTGGGGTGATGAGAAGTCTGGCAATGATTATGTGTGACGACAGCATGGCATGACTGATGTAACAGGCATCATTAACTTACACACCTGAAAATGCTGAGGCGGCAAATGCTGTACCAGATGTATTTTTACAACGATTTAAAAATTATTATTATGTATTTGCAGTTTAAGTAAAACATTAGGTTTGAAAACTGAGAAGGTCCACAGAAAAAACTTTAAAACAGAACCAAATGAAAGTAAGACTTTTCCACCAAATTAAAAAACCCATCTTAAGAAAAAGAAGTACCTTACTTCGCTTGGAAAGTGTTCAGATTTGTAACAAAATATTTCCTAAGGTTTCCAAAAAGAAGATGCAATCAAGAATAATGCAAAACGCACTTACTTTTGATGGTCATAATGGATTTGTCCATTGTTGCCTATAATTACGATAGCAGGATTATTTTTCTAAAAATAAACAGAATGCTTTGTTTTAAAATCCTGAGATCAAGAATTCTAAGTCATTCTGATGTGCTTTAAGGTTTCTTAAATGCTAGGCCCTAAAATTCTAAAATAACTGGTATCAATGGTACAGGTTTCTGTTTATTAAAAAACAAAAACTAAACAAAACAGACATCTGAAAGTCACTTACCACTCCAACCACAAGGGACTCACAGTCTGGAATAAACTACCCAAATCTGAGAGCACACCTGCGCTTGGCACAAGTGTGGGGCGTGGGGGAAAAGGGAGCACCGGTGGCACAGTGGGTTACATGTTGTCTGGCTTAACACAAAGCTGGGCGTTCAACCCATCAGCCTCTCCCTGAGAGAAAGATGAGGCTGTCTGCTCCCATAAAGGTTTAGTCTCAGAAACCCTGACGGAGCAGTCCCACTCTGTCCTATCAGACCACTGTGAGTCAGAACTGACTGGATGGCAGTGGTGTTGCTATGGTTTTGTAATAGAAGCATGATTAGCCTTGGCTTCCAAGGAGTTACTAATTTCAAGTTCTCTTCAAATTGCTGCTGGTGACCTCTAAGAAGCAACCACCAGTTCAAGCAAAGACCACAATCTTAGGGTTGCTGAAGCACAGGTCACCACAGGCTTCTAACATGGGAGTACATTTCGTTCTTAGACGTTTGGGGACTGACCATCAGAGAAACTGGCCTGATCAAAGGAAACATTAATATGAGGGTAAGTAAAAAAGTAATGCTACAAAAATCACAGAACGCTGTATTAAACAAAACTACAAAATGTGAAGCGATTGTTCTCAATACAGCCTTTATTTAGGTATATCCACTTCTGAAGACAGTGTTTCCAGTTCCCTAACCCCTCTTCTGGTAGCGAAGTGGTTACGAATCGGGCTGCTAACCCCTAAGTCGGCAGTTCGAAACTACCAGTTGCTCTGTGGGAGAAAGATGATGCTTTCTTTTCCGGTAAAGATTTACAGCTTCGGAAACCCTGTGCAGGGTCGCTATAAGTCGGAACCGACTCCATGGCACTTAACAACAACAACAACAACTCCTCCTGAAAGAATTCTGTGCTCTTTGATTTAGAACACATCAAAATGGCAGTTGTGGCATCCTTGAGGGATTCAAATCGTATTCCTTTTAAATGTGCTTTGAGTTGGGGAATAAAAAGAAGTCTGAAGGGCAAGATCAGGCTTGTACGGTGCACGGGATGAGGTCCCCCAAGGGAAGTCTTGTAGGACAGCCCTGACTACCCTCAAAGAATGAGCAGGTGCATTGTCAGGATGGAGAACAGTTCTCAAACTTGGCTGGCATGTTTCTCACCAACGCAGTTTTTAATTTTCTTAAAACTTCCTCCCCCTAAGCCCCCATGGTCACCCTGTGCTATCCAAGAAAACCTAGCCAGACCGTCTCTCTGGAATGTAAAAACTGTCACCGTAACTTTCTGAGCTGACCTCTCTACTATGAATGTAGCTGGTCTAACAGATCCTCTTGGAAATCGTTGTTTTGACTGAACCTTGCTGTCTGGATCGTACTGGTAAATCGATGCATCTTGCTTAAGATACTGAAGGAGAGATCAGTTCTGTGAGCTCTCCTATCCTTGTGCGATGTGTTTTTATTAAAGGCACCCTAATGAGACTGAGACACGTGTATCACTGAGAGAACATGTCTGCAGCCGTCAGAGAGACATAGTTACACATGTTTTGATTGGAATAGGCCCATGCCTGTCTGAACTGGAACCCTGGGAGCAAAACTTTTTGACTTCACCCTTGTATGTGAGCCAATACTAGTTTTCACATAAAAGCCAGCTGCTATAGTGTTCGAATCCCTCCCAGTTCACTGCCTCGGTCCAAAGGACCCCGTAACTACCAAGAGGTGGAGGGTCTCAGCAAAGTGCTGGGAGTTAGGACACCTGGATCTCAAGTTGGTGCATGACAAACAAACTGCATACACTCTCAGTTAGGAGCCTCCAAAAGTTCATGGAAAAATGGAATTTAAAAAAAAAAAAAAGAACTTTCTGAAGCCACTTATATCTTTAAATTTGCAAAATCCCAGTTATATAAAGATTAATCCTATATTAAAATATAGTGTGGGGAATTCCCATTTTTAAACTGCTAAATTAGCTAGATTTCTCACAGCCTAATTTATTAAAGAAAACAACTGTTTCAACAATTACATATACCTTTCCATCATTGTCAAAAGAATCAAAAAATATTCCAACACCATTCCACATATCAGCTGATCCAAACACGGGGCCCTCAAAGCCTTGATTTTCGGTGTACCAAATTGCCTGTAAACACACAACAAGGAACCATCAGAAAGTCCTGGTACCCGTGTTGACAAGCACTCTCTAAATTAAGGAAGTTATCATACCAGGCCATCAGCTCCAATCCGACCTCTTCCAGTGACGCGAAAAGTCACCTCTACTTCCCAGTTCTCAAAGGCGGCTTTGGCCTTTGTCCACACGGATCCTCTTTGGCTCTTTAAAGACGGTGCTATTCGAATTTGGTCTGAACTTGGAATTGCATCTAGAGCAAAAATAGAGGAAAATGCCTTTAAGTTAAAATTAGGGAAAACTCAACAAATCATCACCGAACGGCTTCATTAACCTGCAGGATCTGGTTTTAGCTTGTTCAGAAAAAATTTCATGTTAGCAGTTCTAACTTTTGAACTTTAGGCTTTCTAACACCCTCCCACCCCTTATCCTTTAACAGTGAAATATCTCTGCACAAGGATTAAAGATACAACTATACCCTGAAAAGTCAAAGGGTAACAGGGAAGAAATGATGGCTTGAAAGGCAAGCCAACAATCTGATTCTCATATTATTTTTTAAAAACCTCAAAAATAATGTGCATATTGTTTTCTTTACAACTGTCATGCTTTTTACCAGTTTACAACAATTAGAAAGGGCAAAGAATGTGTTCCTAGTTTCAGCTCAGCTTGTGTGACTTTAAGCAAATAATTCTTACTCTCTTGGGTTCACCAAATGTTGTTTTGTTATTAAATGCCTTGAGTCGGTTCCTACTCACAGTGACCCCACACTATGCTTCCAATGAGCCACACCAGGACTCCAGGTTCACCTGTAAAGTGAAGGTGCTACGCTTGATCACTTCCCTAAGTACCCCAAATACTAGATGCAAAGTTTTGTGCCTTTGTACACTCTCCTAGGGAGAGAAGGCCAACACACTTCTTCTGTTTCATCAAATTCTCAAAGATACTAGTGAGCCCCAAGCGGTGGTCTGAACTGAATGTCTGGGCTTCAGTCCCTGGACCACTACTCAATAGCTGTATGACCTTACCTAACTTCAGAGACATTTAAACACAAGGTTGGCAGTTCAAAACCACCAGCCACTCCTTGGAAATCCTATACAGGGTCACTATGAATCAGAAGCAACTTAACAGCAACATCCAAAAGCCACACCAAAGCCCTGCCATAAAGTCAATTCTGACTTATAGTGACCCTGTAACAGGGTTTCCAAAGTTGTAAATCTTAACAGGAGCAGAAAGTCTCATCTTTCTCCATCAGAGCAGTTCTTGGTTTTGAACTGACGACCTTGTGGTTAGCAGTCCAGAGCTTATCCTACAGCCTATATCAGGGCTTCTTAAGTGCCTATATGTTGTTGTTGTTAAGTGCTGTTGAGTCGGTTCCAACTCATAGCAACCCTGTATAGGGGTTTTCAAGGAGCAGCTGGTGGGCTTGAACCACCGATGAACTTCTGGTTCTAAATGACCTTGCGGTTCAGTGCATTATCCTGCACCACCATACCAGGAGTCCAAGTGCCTATATAAATGTGTACATATGGTTGGATATGTCCGGAGGAAACAGTCGCTGGAGAAGGATGTCATGCTGGGTAAGGTGGAGGGTCAGAGAAAAAGAAGAAGACCCCTAATGAGATGGATTGGCCAGGTGGCATCATTGATGGACTCAAGTGTGGCAGCGGTAGTGAGGTTGGCCCAAGATCAGACATTGTTTCATTCTGCTGTGCATGGGGTCGCTATGAGTTGGTTCCGACTCGATGGCACCTAACAACAACAACAATGGTTGGATAAATGTTAGCTAATCCTCCAATCCAAGACCTTTTTAAAGTATTGAAGAGCAAAGATATCAGCTTGCGGACTAAGGTGCTCCTGACCCAAACCATGGTATTTTCAATAACCTCATATGCATGTGAAAGCTGGACAGTGAATAAGGAAGGCTGGAGAAGAATTGATGCTTTTGAGTTATGGTGTTGGAGGAGAATATTGAAAGTGCCATGGGTGCCAAAAGAACCAATAGATCTGTGTTGGAAACAGTGCAGCCAGAGTGCTCCTTGGAGGCCAAGATGGCCAAACTTTGTCTCTCATACTTTGGACATATTGTCAGGAGGGACCAGTCACTGGAGAAGGATATCTTGTTTGGTAAGGTGAGGGTCAAAGAAAAATAGGAAGACCCCTAGCGAGACGGATTGGCAAAGTGGCAACGTCAATGGGCTCAAGTGTGGCAACAGTAGTGAGGTTGGCCCAGGATCAGGCAGTGTTTTGTTCTGTTGTGCACAGGGTTGCTATGAGTCGGTACTGACTTGATGGCACCTAACAACAACAACAACAATCCTTCAATAACTGGACTAAAACCATTACAGTACCACTCAGTTCTAAAATTTGAGCAACTCTAGCATATTCACTCAGACATTAACCAGCGCTAACATCCATGCTGGGAAATAGCTGTATAATCACATTATTGCTACTGTTGTTACGTGCTGTTGAGTCGGTTCTGACTCATAGCAATCCTGTATAGGGTTTCCGAGGGCTGGTGGGCTTGAACCGCCAATGAAAATGACAGGAAACTTTAGCTACTTTAGTAACACCGGCCATTGTTTGTTACCATCATCTTCACTCGGATGGGGGAGGGAGGGTGGGAGGCACACAGGGCATCATGGATAGACCTTGGGACACAGAATCAGAAGATGCAGCTCTGAGTTCTATTCTACTAAATGTACTAGGCATCTGCTGCCTGAAGAGGATAGGTCAGAAAAATTGACTTGGTGGCACCTAACAATAATGAGAAATCTTTTTCAAGAAGCTTAATTTTTCTGAACGTCAGCGTTTCATTTATGAAACAGGTAATGCCTGCCTTGCCTACTAAGGCTCAAATCAGACAATGGAGGTGAATGAACTTTGAAAGTGATAAAGGATTATTATAGACTGTTATCATATTTTGCCCTTCTGGACTCACGGGTTTGTGCTGAGAGTACTGAAGACGTTGTTGTTAAGTGCCATTGAGTTGATTCCGACCCATAGTGAACCTATATAGGGTTTCCAAGGAGCAGCTGGTGAGCTTGAACCACCAACCCTGCTGCTCAAATGACTATGCAGTCTGACACATTAGCCCACAGCGCCACACCAGGACTCCACTGTAGACATTAGAGATTAAGAAAGAGAAGTATAGATTTGGTGCTAATTTGGAACAAAAATTGGCTGGTCACGATTAAACTTGACGTTAAAGATCTCTCTTTTTCTACTGTTTTTAGTAATGGATCTCGGATCAAAATGAAAGGGGAAAAGCAATCAATGTGACTAAGAATATAGTTTTTAAGTTGTTACCGAGTCAATTCTGACTCATAGCAACTACGTTTAAGATTTCCAAGGAGCAGCTGGTAGGTTTGAACTGCTGACCTGTGGTTAGCTGTCAAGTGTTGATCCTACAGCACCACGCCAAGACTCTGAAAAAATTATAGTAACAATCAAATGAGGAGACATTAATGGAGTCAGAAGACAGAAAAGTCAAGGCTAAAACTGTGGCTGTTAGCTGCTGTCAAGTTGGTCCCTGACTCAAGGCGATCCCATGAAAATGGAGTCAGACAATTACGATCCACAGGGTTTTCACTGGTGAGTTTTTTGGAAGCAGATCACCAGGCATTTCTTCCTTGTCTGATTTAGTCTGGAAACTCCACTAAAACCTACTCAGCACCATGGCAACTAGCAAGCCTACACTGACAGACAGGCAGCGGCTGCACCTCAGATGTACTGTTAAGAAGCAAACCCACTTCTCCCTCCTGGAAGGAAGCAGCCTACCACTAAACCACCACTGCCCCCATGACTTCACAGTCAGTCAGTCTAGTCGGGAGATTTTAATTCACGGAGGTACCCTGTCCTGACATTCCTGCAGCAGACCAGTTTAGTTGGTTACAGTTCTGTAAAGAGAACTGAGGTAAACCATCTGAGAAGTTGATGAAGTCTTACTTGGCTGATGCGGTATGTGTGTGAGGGAGAGGGAGAAAAAGGAGACAGGCGCAGGCAGGCAATGGAGAGCCACTAAAGTGAAAACTGAGTCCTGGTATGGCGTTGTGAGCTGAAGCACTGGACAGAAAGGTGGTTCAAATTCACCAGTGGCTCTTTGGAAACTCTACATAGGGTCGCTATGAGTCGGAACTATCTCGATGGCACTTAACAACTAAAAACAAAGTGAGGGGCTACAACGTGTCCAGTGAAGGAGGCTTCCTGTGGAGCCTCCGCATTATATAAGACTATAGGTGGAATCCTGAACTCCATCTAGATTCTTGAGGTGGGAAATCTTCACTTGGAAAGATGGGCACTGAAGCGGCTAGAAGAACAAAAGATACTGCTTGAAAGAAACACCGACAGGAAAAATACAAAATAACAGCAGTCTGACTGACTACTACAAGAACAAGCACGTTGCTTGCCCAGGAGACATCAGAGCAAGTGGTAGGTCCCTTCAGGACAAACCCCCTTCCAAGAGTAAGACTTAATGGGAATACATGCTCTGATTGGTGACCATGTTGGTCACTGATAAGGGGAAGTGAGGGAAAAACAGCAATGAAGCTGCGAGCTAAACCCTACCACGTTCAATAGACTCCTGTGAACGGGGATGGAGACCTGGTTGGCCAGCAGTATGGCAAGACCTGGGGACTCCTGGGCCCAGAGTCGGTGACATAGCCACAGAGGACTAGAGTGGAGAGTGAAGCGTCTAGCTGATAAGAGAGGGCATATGCACAAGAACACCCACACTTGCAGATAATAAATACCCACTTGACCTGGCTTCAGAGGCTGGATGATTAGAACTCAACTAGAAGAAGAAAGAAGAGGGAAAAAAAAGAATAATCTGACACAATTTGATGAACTAGACCTACACCTATGGATGCAGTAGCTCAAAAGAGAGTATAAAGCTTTACAGCAGGGATCATTCCCACCCCCTCAATACACGGGGTAGACAGGGATGGGCAACTTGGGCATTGGCTACCCAAAATGGGGGTTAGAGGGGGCTACAAAGGCAAGAAGTGACTAGCTTACAAGTTTTCAAGAGGGAGCCTAGATCCAGAGGGTGCAGAGGAAGGTAGAATCTCCACTGAGTAGTATCCAATATGTCTGGGCGGGACTGATGAAAGGAGATGGGGATAGCACTCATGTGGCACAATACTGAATAATTGCTATCAGGGTTGACTGTGAAGGTTGGAAATGTAAAGGCAGACGTAGTAGTAAAAGGAGGGGAGTGATTGACTTTGCAGTCTAGAAGCGGAGGGCCCTGGGACCATCAAGGGAGAAGAGCGGAGAGCAGGACCCTACCCAGAGAAACAGTGATGCCAGAGATGGAGGCAGAGATGATGACGTGGAGAGATGGAGTGGCTGGGGACTCTAGAACCAGAGAAGGAGAGGGGCTGTGAGCTGACGTCAGGGGGGCAGGCTTGCGGGGTATACCCTTTTGTTGGTTGATGATGCATGGAGGGGATTGTAACCATGGCAATGAAACGATATATGATAGGATGAATGTAAAACTAATGTTCTCCCATGTAAACTGTCACATAATTCACAATAAAACATTTAAAGAAAAAAGTGAAAATGCATGACCAAATCTGTCACCATTGCTGAAAAGTTCACCTTCATTCGTTCATTCAAAAAAAAAAAAAATACAAAAATGTGTTTGGTATTATTTGCATCGTATCTTTGTTCATAAAGAATGTTACCTTGATAACAAATGTCCCCAGTATGCTCTTGCAGAGAGTGGGCAGATAATGTTGAGTAACAAATAATTGCACTCTATTTCAAACGTTTAATGACTTGGTTATTAAGTTCAATTCAGTTATACCATTTAATTACACATTAATTTCAGTGAGACAGCCCTTCCCAAAACAACGGTACCTATTCAGCAATCACTTTCTAGAAATAGAATATTTTATTTCAAGTATGTTGTTGTACTTAAGTGCCATGGAGTCAGTTTCAACTTAAAGCAACCATGTGTCAGGTTTCCCAGAAGTGGCTGGTGGGTGTGAACGGCCCACCTTGAGGTTAGCGGTCCAGTGCTTATCCTACAGCACCACATCAGGACTCCGTTTCAAATATATGACAAATATAAAACTCCAAGAGTACAACAACAAAGGTGGAATTACTTGTCCCCTATTAAGGCACACGGAGTCATCATGACTCAGAATTAACTCAATGGCAACTAGTAACATAAAAGTGTTTGTCACTTGTTCCAAAGGGCAGATATCTGATGGTCACTGATCAGAGCTGACAGCATGCCAGGTGCTTGAGGCTGAACCTTAGTCAGCACTGACACATCAGCACTGAAACCTGCAAATGTTTTCTTTCACATGAATCAATGCTCCGGCAAGTCTCTCTTATCTATAAATGTGCCCAATAGATACACAGAGCCAACAAAACACGATGCACAGGTTATATATCACGTTCTCCAAAAAAAAGAAAGAAAAAGAGAAGAGAAGGTCTCAGGGTTTAATGGTTTTCTTATTCTCAGAGCTTAGAAACAACTCAACCAAGAAATACACTCCTAAGTAGTGGTTACGAATGGGGCTGCGAACCGTTCGCAAGATCAGCAGTTGGAAACTACCAGCTGTTCCGCGGGAGAATGATGAGGCTTTCTGCTCCCGTAAAGATTTACAGCCTCGGAAACCCTATACAGGGTCGCTATCAGTCGGAAACCAACTCCACCGCACATAACCACCACCACCAAGTAAAAGGACGAGTGTGGCTGTAAAGTTATAAAATGAGTTCACACAAAAGATCAAAGCCCACACACTCGTCCCAACAGTTTAAGAAGGTCCTTCTGACATAAAAAGACGACAACTGACTCTAACCCGGGCTCGGACCACTGCGGACACCTGACAAGGGTTGTAGGAGGTGGCCGGGGGCAGCTCCGGCGGGGCGGAACGTGTCCTCCAGAGACGTGGCGATAGAGTGAAACGTGATGCCCAGAGCCCGGGTAAGTGGGTGCTGAAGTGTAGGAAGTAACAGGACACCTCCGGACCGCACGGACAGGGCCGACGCAATAGAGGGGGGCCGCCCGGAGAAGACACTCTAGGGGCAGGGGAGGAAAGCGTGCGGGTCGGGGAGATCTAGAGGCATGGGCATCGCAGAGGCTTGAGCGGGGCCGTCGGGTCACTAGGGTAAAGAGAGGAGGGAGGAGGGTGGGACCCGGGCCCCCGCCCCCGGCCCAGCTTACTCCCCGCGTGGGCCCAGAAGGGCACGGTCCCATCTCTCTGCACCAGGTGCGGCCCCTTGAAGCTGTATTTATACTCGAAACGACGATGTGGCAGCGCGGCCGGGGTGCCCGCGGCACCGGCAGCTACAGGGTCCCCTCCTGCGCCGTCACCCGCGACGAAGCGACTGATGGACAGCAGCAGGGCGCAGAAAAACGGCCGAACTCTAGGCTGGCAACCCCGTCGCCTGGATCCCGCCATCTTGGATACTGGGACGCGGAGGCCGGCGGGAGGGGGAGGGGCGCAGGAGGCTGCGGACGGCCAACAGGGCGCTCGCTGATTGGCGGAGCCCGAGGGATCCGAGGGCAAGGGGTGAGCCCCGCCCCCGGTCTCCCAGGCCCGAAGTCGCCAAATCCGGAGCCCTGTGGGCGGGACCAGACGGCAGGGGGCGGGGCCTGGAGCCCTAAGGTCTCCACGCGCTTCTCCAATCCTCTGCTCCGTGGGAAAAGGGATGCCAGCGTTCTCTTCTCCTGCCTTTCAAAATACTTTAGAGGAGGAACTCCCGGAACCCAAGACCTGGGGCGAGAGAAAGATGAGGATGAGGCCGCTTACTCCCCTACAAATTTACAGTCTCGGAAACTCTAAGGAGCAGTTCTCTGTCCTGTAGAGTCTCTGTGAGTCGGAAAGAGCTCGGTGGCAGATGGTTTCAGACCTCGGGACCGTACATCAGCCCTCCTTAGCTATCCTGAATCTTTCCAGTACAGTGCTAGTTAGAAAGACTTCCCTGGTGATGTGATAAAGATAGTTCAGTGGCCAGTTTTCATTAGGTGAACTGTTAATATTGAAATCTTTCCAGAAACATCCCAGTCATGGGTCAGTACACTATGTGCCACCAGCCTGTTTGGGACATTTTAAATGGGGAGCAGGTGGTCCACCGACTGTCCAGCGCTAGGTACATTTTGTTGTTGAAATCAAGGATTTCTCAGAATTCATCAGTAATCTTTCACCTCTCTCTCTCCAAATTCAATGTCAAGAACTTTCCAAGTTTTGAAGCCATGGCAATAGTGCATTGAAATGGACCTGAGTTTTGGTTTCCTCTGGGGGAAAGTCTTATGAATTCTAAAGAGAATGATCAGTCGTAGGCCTCAGGCATTAGTCTTTGACATAATGGATACTGCATACAGTTTAGTTTTTAAATTAAAGCTTTAAAGACTTTCATTTGTAGTTGTAGCATGACAACAAATGAGAAGACACAGCTGCAAACATCCATTAATAATCAGAACGTTGAATATATGAAGTATGCATCTAGAAAATTTTGAAGTTGTAAAAATGAAATGTAACACACAAACATGGGTATCCTAGGGTTAGTGGGTTGAAATAGAATGGTATTGGTTATTTAGAAGCTGACAACTACATAGCGGGAATGACAAATTGAAGAGGAATGGCATTGCATCCATCATCAAAAAGAACATTTCAAGATCTATCCTGAAGTACATAGAGCTCTGGTAGCATAGTGGTTATGAGTTGGGCTGCTAAATTCAAAGTCAGCAGTTCAAAACTACCAGCTGTTCCACAGGAGAAAGAAGACGCTTTCTGTTCCAGCAAAGATTTACAGCGTCAGAAACCCTATACAGGGTCGCTGTGAGTCAAAACCAACTGCACAGCACATAACCACCACCACCACCACCATCCTGAAGTACAATGCTTGTCAGTGATCAGATAATATTCATACACCTACAAGGAAGACCAGTTAATATGACTATTATTCAAATTTATGCATCAACAATTAATGTCAAAGATGAAGAAACTGAAGATTTTTTTACCGATTTCAGAAGACTGAAATGGATCAAACATGTAATCAAAATGCATTGATAATTACTGGTGATTGGAATGCAGGAGTTGAAAACAAAGAAGAATTGACATTTGGAAAATATGTCCTTGGTGATAGATATGATACTGAGATTGCATGATAGATTTCCAATGAATACAAAAATGTATTTCCAAACAATAGGTTGTAAGACTATTCATTGGAAATACATTTTTCAACAACATAAAAGGCAACTAAACAGATGAAATACATAGGAATCAAATTAGCTACATCTGTGGGAAGAGACAGTAGAGAAGCTCAGTATTATCAGTCAGAACAAGACCGGGGACTGACAGACCATCAGTTGCTTCTATGCAAGTTGAAGTTGAAGAGAATTAAAACAAGTTCACAAGAGCTAACAAGTACATCCCACCTGAATTTAGAAAACATCTCAAGAATAGATTTGACACTTTGAACACTAATGACTGAAGATCAGAAAAGTTGAGGGATGACATCAGGAACATTATGCATGAAGAATGCAGAACAGATGAGCTGTGGGATGACATCATACATGAAGAAAGCAACAGGTCATTAAAAAGGAAAAAAAGACCAAAGTGGATATCAGAAGAGGCTTGAAACTTGCTCTTGAAGGTCAAGTAGCTAAAGTGGATGAAAGAAATGATGACATAAAAGAGCTAATTAGAAAATCTCAAGGGGTGGCTTGAAAAGACAAAGTAATATATTATAATGAAGTGTGCAAAGACTTGGAATTAGAAAACCATAAAGGAAGAGCACACTGGGCATTTCTCAAGCTGAAATAATTGAAGAAGAGATTCCAGCCTCGAGTTGCAATACTGAAGCATTCTATGAGCAAAATATTGTATGAAGCTGGAAACATCAAAAGAAGATGGAAGGTATCCATAGAGTCACGGTACCAAAAAGAACTGGTTGACTTTCAACCATTTTGAACAGTAGCATATGATAAAGAACCAGTGGCACAGGCTGCGTTGAAGACATTGAGAAAAACAAGACTGCAGAAATGGAAGAATACCAACTAAGATGTTTCAACAAACAGATGCAATGCTGGAAGCACTCAAGTGTCTGTGCCAAGTGTTTGGGTTTAAACCAGAAGGAAAAGTCTTTCTGCATGTGTGGTTATCGAGAGACTGAAAAAGCAACCAGGAGTCAGTCCAAGAAACATTAGTTTATTACAGAAAAACAGAGTTTACACACAAGGAAACTTGCTAACCAGGAAAAGAGCAACTGTTTCCAGTGGTGGCCAGCTGTACAGTCAAGATTTTCTGCATGAGGGGCGTGGGCTAGGGTCTTTTTATATCATGGGGTGTACAAGTTTCATGCAGCAGGGTAGTTAAAGGTGGTATGCAGAACACAGAAAAGATAGGAAAGCCACAAGGTGCCTGGCTGCCTGCCCTTCCTGGAGAACAGAGTTTTGGTATGCTTAGCAGGAGGAGAGGGCTGTCTGCTCTTCCTAGCATATGTATAACTAAAGTATGGGAACCAAGAGTTTCTGTATATGTATAATGGGAGCAATCTGGGAACGGATAGGAGATATGGTCTAAGTTGACATTGTTGTTGTTGCTAAGTGCCGAGTTATACTTTAGTTATACATATTTAGTCATACATATGTATATAAAAAGGAGCTCTGGTAGCGTAGTGGTTACGAATCGGGCTGCGAACCACAAGGTCAGCAGTTCAAAACTACCAGCGGTTCCGCAGGAGAAAGATGAGGCTATCTGCTCCCGTAAAGATTTACAGCCTCAGAAACCCTGTTCAGGGTCGCTATGGGTCGGAACCGACTCGACGGCACTTTAACAACAACAACAACATGTATATAAAAAGACCCTAGCCCACACCCCTCTGCAGAAAATCTTGGCTGTCCAGCTGGCCACCACTAGAAACAGCGGTTTTTCTTATATCCTAATTAGTGAGTTTCCTTGTTTGTAAACTCTTTGCTTAGGTTGGCCATTTTGGAGCGTTTGCATTCTTTCCCTACATCAAGAAACTTAGAAGACTTATCTGGCCAACTGACTGAAAGAGATCCAGGGTTATGTCCTTCCAAAGAAAGTTGATCCAATATACTATGGAAATCACCAAACAATATCACTAACATCACATGCAAATAATATTTTGCTGCAGATGATTCAAAAATGGCTGTAACAGTACATAGAAAGAGAACTGTCAGAACTTCAAGTTGGATTTAGAAGACGATGTAGAATGAAGGATATTGTTGCTGATGTCAGATGTTGTTATTGTTGTTGTTATGTGCCGTGGAGTCAGTACTGATCTGATGTCAGATAGTAAAGGAGAAAATACCAGAAAGATATTTACCTTAGTTTCATTAACTATGCAAAGGCATTTGACAGTGTGAATCATAGCAAACTGTGGGTAAGATTGTGAAGAATGGGAATTCCAGAACACTTAAAGGTGCTCATGTGCATAGACTAAGAAAGAGGTGGTGGTGGTGTGCCATGGAATCAGTTCTGACTCATAGTGACCCTGCATAGACTTTCTGAGGCTGTAAATCTCTACAGGAATAGAAAGCCTCCTCTTTTTTCCCAAGGAACGGCTGGTAGTTTTGAACTGCTGACCTTGAGGTTAGCAGCCCGACTCATAACCACTATGCTACGAGAGCTCCTTAAGAAAGAGGTAGTCCTTAGAAAAGAACAAAGGGATGTTGTTTGAAATCAGGAAAGGTGTGTGTAAGTGTTGTAGCCTTTCACCTGTATACTGAGCGAATAATCTGAGAATAGTATGAAGAAGAACACTACAGCAGGATTGGAGGAAGGCTCACTAACCACCTGAGATATGCAGATATACAACCTTGCTTCCTGAAAGCAAAAAGTCTATAAAGCACTGACTGATGAAGATCAAAGACTACAGCTTTCAATATGGATTAAAACTCAATGCAAAGAAAACGAAAATCCTCACAATTGGACCAATAAACAACATCATGATAATGGAGAAAAGACTGAATTAGTCAAAGATTTTCTTGTACTTGGATTCATAACCAACACCCCTGGAAGCAGCAGTCAAGAAATCAAATGATGTATTGCATTGGACAAATCTGTTACAGAAAACCTTTATAAATGTTAAAAAGCAAAGGTTTCATTTGAAAAGAATAAGGTGTGTCTGACCTAAGTTGTAGTATCTTCATTACCTCATATGCATGCAAAAGCTGGGCAGTGAAGAAGGAAGACTGAAAAGAACTGATGCCTTTCAATTATGGTTTCAGTGAAGAATACTGAATGTATCATGGACTACCAGAAGAACAAATAAATCTGTCTTGGAAGAAGCAGAACCAGAACGTTCCTTTGAAGCAATGATGGCGAGACTTCATCTCACATTGTTTGAACAATACTACTGAGAGATCAGTCCCTGGAGAAGGACATCATGCTTAGAAAAGCAGCGTGTCAATGAAAATTAGGAAGGAAGA